AAGTGCTTATATATTATGATTCTTACAAATATGTGAATGATAGTGAACAATATTTGTGGGTTTTATAAAATGCATGAATAAAAAATATATTAACTAATTTAAATTATAATTTAAGCTTCACCAAACATGCACTTAGAAATTCACCAACGAGAAGCTTATATGAAGAACATAAAATTTAGAAAAACTTGTTAACAAATGCACTTCCATGCAATTAATTTTTCTAGCTTTTATTGGGAAATAAAACGATCTATGAAAGTGCCTTCCAATTCTTCCGTTGTTTTCCCTCCGTCGCCAAAGTTGTGGCTATTTTGTCAAATCTCAACAACGTATCATCCAAGTCGATCTGCGCGAGTACAATTCTCATCTTTACTTGCCACAACGAGAATATTGTATTGCGATCAAAGATCAAGGTTTAATACTTCATGGCTACCATCAATAACAAAAATATCTAACAAATCACAATCAATAACTTTGATACCACTACATAGTTGTTGTTTTCTCCTTCAAAACGTCGTGAAGAGTAATGTTAGAGAAATGAAGATGGATATGTGCTCGTGCATATGGACTTAGATGATGCGTTGTTGGGATTTGACAAAATGTCCACAACTTGAATGAAGGAGGAGAAACAACGGAAGGATCAGAATACATTTTATTTCCCAACAATTGGTATTAGAGCTCAAGTTATCAACAAGTCTTAGCCCAACAGTCCATGGGAGATATGAGTTTACTCCCACCCAGGGCCCGACGTGTGAGGGGGAGATTGTTGAGGTTATCCCACATCTATTGTGGAAAGGGTTCGTGGTCAATTTATAAGTGTGAGGGAAAATCTTACCTCTTGAACTAGCTTTTCGAGTTGAGAAGACCCAAGACCACTCACCCGCTTTTGTTGCCTCAAACTAGTAGAACATGGCAGGGATAGTCCAATCTCTTTCACTATGGTCTAATCCACAGGGAAACCAAGGACTGCTAGTGAGACAGATTCTCCAGGCACTGAACTATCCAAATTTAAAGTTTTAACTTTGGTGAAAGTATTTGGTGGGATCATATGTAGACAAAGAAAGCCAAAAGTGAATGGAACACGATTCAATTCAACGTACTAAACATAAAGTTAGTGGACGGAGGGCAAAAGTGGGATGCAGTTTGATCCAACAACGAAACAAATTTTCCACTTTCAGATATCATTTCGTACTTATTTTAACCACTTCACTGAAAGTGATGCCTATTATGGGAACTTTGTTTTTGAGATCATGGCTTGTAATTGAAGGCCAATTATCATTATCTTATTATTACATAAACTGAGACTAAGATTGTACTCTCAAAACTGTTGTTTCAGAATCCAAGGGGGCCATGGCAGTTATTTAGTACTTAATCACATTTACAAATGCACTAAACAGAGTGGACTGAAAAGATTCATGAAGTCGACTCCAAATATGTCAAGAACAAGACTTAATTTGATGAACACACGAATTTGATAACGACCCTTTGAATAATTGGCATCATGGATCTTACCCAGGAGCAGACTACAACATCCACTGCTACTAACAAAGAGGAGCTTCTTTCCATTGCCATGAAGAGGACCAGTGAATGGTTTGCTCTCTTTCCCTTATTTATTATCTTCCCAGGTGCTTGTAAGAAGGTCTGAAAGAATTGTTTCAGTTTCAATACTTGTGCTGAATTCTTTTTTCAGTGAAAATAATTCTATACTCTAGGAAGAATTTGAGATTTTACTTTCAATTTTTAACAGGACCTTTTCCAACGAAATCCCACGTGATGTAACTGTTAATGCTGGAGGAACTTCCTTTTCTTTGCACAAGGTAGAATATATCGATAGTGAAATCTGCTTATCTATATTCTATTAATTTGGACAATTTGAATTAATACTTCTGTTGAAGAGTTTTTGTTTTATTCCTTATCGGTAATCAACATGGTTTCTGCTGAACTACCTCCTCACAAACAAGTGTTTTTGAAATTCCATACAGTTCCCATCGATCTCAAAAGGTGGATACTTAAGGAAGTTGGTGTTGGAATCCGAAGATTCTGATCTTTCTGTCATTGAAATCCCTGATATTTCTGGAGGGCCAGAGGCATTTGAATTTGCAGCAAAAATTTTGCTATGGAATAAACTTCGAAATAAATTCAGAAAACATTACCATGCTTAGATGTGTAGCAGAGTATATATCTTGAGATGATAGAGGATCTTGCAGTTGGAAATTTAGTTGGCAGAACGGAGGCATATGTGAACGAAGTTGAATTAAAAAGTCTTCCACGGACAGTGTCCATTTTCCATTCTTCTGAAAACCTTCTTCCTATAGCCGAAGAAGTGAAATTGGTAAGCCGGTGCATAGACACAATAGCATTTTTTGCCTGTAAGGATTGCGAATTTTGCACATCGACGAGGGAGGAGCATGGCATAAATGATTTAATTTTGTCAACTGCTCCCAGCACAAAGCCCCTAGTTGATAGGTGGGCTGAAGATTTAACAGTCCTTTGAATTGATATCTTCCAAAGGGCTCTCATGCAATGACTCCAAGGAGATACAAATATTATGCTCTCGGGTCCATTATTAATGCTATATGCACAGAATTTCTTTGAGGCTTGGTGAGGTCTCACCCATAACTTTAGATTATCAACTGCAAGATGTTCATATGTAACTTAATTTAGGTTCCATTTCAGGAAATATTTGGAAAGGGTAGGAAAAGATATCGAGCCAAGACAAGAACTTGAGAAGAGGGTTGTTTCAGAAACAATAGTTAGTCTTTTTCCACGTGAGAAGAACTCGATGTCAGTTAGCTCTCTCCATGCTACTTCAAGTTGCAACATATCTAGAAACGACTGCCTGCAGGCTTGACTTGGAGAATAATTGCTACTTGGACAGGCACTGTTAGATGATCTATTAATCCCTTCTTATTCCTTCACTGAAGAAACATTGTTTGATGTTGAAACTGTTCAGAATAACAGAGATGGAATGTATAGAACAATTGATATCTACTTGAAGGTTTGTGCATTCTCTAATCTGTATTCTGATCAGTTACGTCGCTTAAATCTTGAACCTTACATAAATAAGCAAACATGAATTCATGATCATGAGATGAGATGACTTCATTTATTGGTTAGTATTCTGATTCCTCACCAGAATATCCTTACAATGTAATTACATGGCATAACAAATTTCAATCAGAAGTTTCTGACATAACCAGTTTCTATCAAACTGGTACTCTTTATTTGAGTATGCGGAGCCTCATACTATACACTTATTTACTCGACCTCAGATTGACCCTATCATATTCCTACTAATATTGGGTATTATCCCCATGGAATTTTTTTTCTAGGTGTATTGAATTCCATATGTTTATTAGCGTAATATTCCTATTACATAAAATTATTTTAGGAGTTCCATCTTTTGACGTGTGTGAGAGGCTGAAGATCACCTTGACTCTTCTTCATTATAGTGAAAACCTGTAACGACAAAGGGGGTAGATCTCTGGTTGAGCATGAACCACTATAATGTGCACTTTCCTATTTTTTTTATTTTATTTTTGCTCTCCTAAATAGGGATTATGGCTTAATACATAACACTTTTCCATGTAATCTACAGGCTAATCCAGCATAAAGTGACGTGGAGAGAGAGAGAGAGAGAGTTTGCAGTGTGATGGAGTGTCAAAAGCTCTCCCTGGAAGCCTCTGCCCACGCTGCACAGAACGACAGACTCCATGTCCAAACCGTCGTTCAGGTGCAACAACAGCGCATTCGGGAAGTTAGGATAGCAGTGTCAGTGATTCCCCTGCACTTCCAACCAAAGTGGATCAGTTCACCATTGACATCCATCCAGTATCAGATGAGCTCTCAATTTTACGCAGAGAAAATCAGGACCTGAAACTAGAGTTGGTGTCAATGAGAATGAAAGAAATTGAGTAATCGGCAGTTAATAATCCCTTAGGAATCACTCATCCATCATCTGCGAAATCTCCTTGACCTCGAAAACCATTGATAAGCTCTGTCTCGAAGTTTCTTCGAGCTGATGCTATTACGCTGCAGAACAACAAAGGTCGATATAAAACCAAGCAAAAATTTGTGGCACTGTATATTCCAGTTTTTCTAGTGCTTAGATGAAAATAATGAGTATATGACACCTTCATTGTATAGTTGTGAGCTTAGGAAGAGGACTTGCATTCTGTATCTCTGTATACTTATTTCACTTCCTTTGTGTGCATATTTCTTGAATCATCCCCTTCAGACGCAGCACTTTTTTCAGCTCGTTCGAATTAGTTGGTTGGTTTATGATTCATTCTACGGCAAAAGCACTGCATCTAAAAGTTTAAGACGACACAACAATTATGCTTTATTTTTTTTAAATTTAGTCCTCAAAAATTCTTCCCACGTGCCAATCATATCATTATTTCATCAAAACTAGACACGTGAACATATTTTATAAATAAATCTCGACTTACCTTGAACTCACAACTTCCCATAATTCAAGATTGCCTGCAGCAAGTGGGGTCTTTTTTTCAGTGATTGATTTTTGGATATAAAGCAAAAGGGAAAGCCAGAGTATACACACAAGGGATATAGTCTAGTAGTGGTCTCATGTCCATGTTTAAAGCAAATAATCATATAATGGAGTCTACAGAAGAACTTTTTCTTGATAAATCAGATTATTTCTTGGACAGGGTTCATTCAGTACATAATTTTCCTGGAGACTCGTTTAGTATTTTGAATCTAATATTCAATATGTGGCAGACAAATCAAGTCATTTTTTGGTGTAAAAACTATCATAAAAGGGGAGTTGAACTCAAATTTGTTTGTCTAGAAAATATAAGAAACCATGCTCGTTTTGAGGCTAACCATTTCAATATTGTGAAGAGCTCTCACGACTCGTTAGGTACACAAAACTGTAAAGTACAATAAATAGGAAAGCTCATGCTTCCACCAAGAAATCTAGGATTTGAAATAATCATATATTTCTTAACAGCAATGACTACAAGGGGATACAAATATTATGCTCTTAGTCCATTATTAATGCTATATGCATAGGATTTCTTGTAGGCTTGGTGAGATCTCCCCCATAATTTTAGATTATCAACTGCAAAATGTTCATATGTAACTTATTTTTGGTTCCATTTCAGGAAATATTTGGAAAGGGTAGGAAAAGATATCGAGCCAAGACAAGAACGTGAGAAGAGGGTTGTTTCAGAAACAGTAGTTAGTCTTCTTCAACGTGAGAAGAACTCGAAGTCAGTTAGCTTTCTCTCCATGCTTCTTTAAGCTGCAATATATCTAACAACGACTGCCTGCAGGCTTGACTTGGAAAAGAAGATGGCAATGCAACTTGGACAGACACTGTTAGATGATCTATTAATCCCTTCTTATTCCTTCACTGGAGAAACATTGTTTGATGTTGAAACTGTTCAGAATAACAGAGATGGAATGTATAGAGCAATTGATATCTACTTGAAGGTTTGTCCATTCTCTAATCTGTATTCTGATCAGTTACGCCGCTTAAATCTTGAACCTTACATAAATAAGCAAACATATCCTTACAATATAATTAGATGGCATAAGAAATTTCAATCAGAAGTTTCTAACATATCCAGTTTTTATTAAACTGGTGCTTTTTATTTGAGTATGCGGAGCCTCATACTATACCCTTATTTCCTCGAACTCAGATTGACCCTATTATATTCCTACTAATATTGGGTATTATCCCCAAGGAAATTTTTTTTCTAGGTGTATTGTATTGTATTGTATTGTATTTTTTTATTTTATTTTTGCTCTCCTAAATAGGGATTATGGCTTAATACATAACACCTTTTCCATGTAATCTATAGGCTAATCCAGTATTAAGTGACGTAGAGAGAAAGAGAGAGAGTTTGCAGTGTGATCGAGTGTCAAAAGCTTTCCCTGGAAGCCTCTGCCCACGCTGCCAGAACGAGACTCCCTGTCCAAACCGTCGTTTAGGTGCTTTACTAATAACAATGGCGGAAGTTAGGATAGCAGTGTCAGTTATTCCACTGCACTTCCAACCAAAGTGGATCAGTTCACCATTGACATCCATCCAGTATCAAATGAGCTCTCAATTTTACGCAAAGAAAATCAGGACCTGAAACTAGAGTTGGTGTCAATGAGAATGAAAGAAATTGAGTAATCAGCAGTTAATAATCCCTTAGGAATTACTCATTCATCATCTGAGAAACCTCATTTACCTCAAAAACCATTGATAATCTCTATCTCGAAGTTTTTTCAAGCTGGTGCTATTACGCTGCAGAACAACAAAGGTCTATATAAAACCAAGGAAAAATTGGTGGCACTGTATATTCCAGTTTTTCTAGTGCTTAGATGAAAATAATGAGTATATGACACGTTCATTGTGTAGTTGTAAGCTTAGGAAGAGGACTTGCATTCTGTATTTCTCTGTGTTATGAAACTAGTCGCAAGATATGGCAAATAATGAAGAAATAAAGAAGAAAACAAGAACACAAGAATTTAAGTGGAAACCCAATTCGGGAAAAAACTACGGGCAGAGGAGAACAATCCACTATAATCAATAGTTTTGTGTTTACAATTCAAGATTCAATAAACTCAATTGAAACCTAAGCAATCTCTCTCTAAATATGTTGTTGAATCTCAAGAGAATAATATATGAATGTTATATGATGATTTGAGATGTTAATACAATGTAGTTATATATATAATCCCCTTATTGGAGTCCTAGATGAAGAAAAAGTCCAAAAATCCGGATAGAACACGAAAAACGGAGAAAAATGCGATCAGGTTATTATAACAACGCTTAAGCGCTGGGCGCTACTGTAGCAGCGCTTGGGCACCCAACTTCTGCCCCAAAATTTTTGTTTCAATTTTCCGGGAGCCTAGGCGCCGCAATGATGGCGCCCAGGCGCTAGGTCTCGGGTAAACCTTGTCAAAACATGTTTTTGCAATCCACAAATCATTTTCCAAGTCAAACTCCTAATTATCAATGAAGTTTAATCTCTTCAAGTTAGGATTCTTCAAACCCAAGTACCATAAACTTTCTCCAATCATTCAAATCCCAAATCACATGGAATTCCAACAAACCAAATATTCAAATCACTATAGACTTCCTCCAATCATTCAAATCTCAAATTACATGGAATTCCAACAAGCCAAATATCCAAATCACATGGAATTCGAACAAACCAAATATCCAAATCACATGAAATTTGGATCAAACCAGAACACTATGTATACTTATTTCACTTCCCGTGTGATATATACATGTAAATCATTGTGGTAAGTGCATATTTCTTGATTCATCCCCTTCAGATGCAGCACTTTTTTCAGCTCATTCGAATTGGTTGGTTTATGATTCATTCTACGGCGAAAGCACTGCATCTAGAAGTTTAAGACGACACAACAATTATGCTCTATTTTTTTAAAATTTAGTCCTCAAAACTTCTTCCCACAGGCCAATCATATCTTTATTTCATCAAAACTAGACACGTGAACATATTTTCTAAATAAATCTCGACTTACCTTGAACTCACAACTTCCCATAATTCAAGATTGCCTGCAGCAAGTGGGGTCTGTTTTTCAGTGATTGAGTTTTGGATATAAAGCAAAAGGGAAAGCCAGATACGCACAAGGGATAGTCTAGTAGTGGTCTCATGTCCATGTCTAAAGCTAATAATCTTATAATGGAGTCTACAGAAGAACTTTTTCTTGATAAATCAGATTATTTCTTGGACAGGGTTCATTCAGTACATAATTTTACTGGAGACTCGTTTAGTATTTTGAATCTAATATTCAATGTGGCAGACAAATCAAGTCATTTTTTGGTGTAAAAACTATCATAAAAGGGGAGTTGAACTCGAATTTGTTTGTCTTGAAAATATAAGAAACCCTGCTCGTTTTGAGGCTAACCATTTCAATATTGTGAAGAGCTCTCATGACTCGTTAGGTACACAAAACTGTAAAGTACAATAAATAGGAAAGCTCATACTTCCACCAAGAAATCTAGGATTTGATCAAACATGTATGTACTCCTCTTGCCTTCAACAGAAAGCTCGTCAAAACCTACGCGATCTTGCTACTGAGTGCAATGTAATTATCCGTGAGGCTAGGAAATGTAGTAACTTCACGATCCCATAATAAGAAAAAGAGATCTTTCTCCAGCAATCTCTTTTCCCCTCGTTCTTGCAGAATCAGAAAGACTCGAAGAAGAAAATTTCAGTCCAGAATCCGATGGAGGTAGTGTTTCACCAGCCTTTCTCCTTCCATTATAACTTTTCAGGCCTAATGTCAGCTCAAGTTCACTCTCATCTTCAAATTCATTAATCTGATCAATCGAAGCAATCGCATAATCCTGCCCTTTTCGCGTAGTTTTGACGATATCCTTCATTAGTATCTTCTGGATTCGATAAAGACGATGAAGCTCGAAAACCTAAAAATATATATAGAAATTCTAGATAAGGGACATTCTACATTGGCCTAATAATTAACAGAATGCACAAATGGAAATTGGAAATTTATCTACCTGTTCTTGAAATGTTTCCTCATGTTTTAACATGGCCATCTTCATGTATTCCTTGTGGTATGGATTAAGAAGCTTCTCCATTTGAACTTAAAATATCATAAATTATATATTTCCTTTCTTGTATGCTCTATCTGCATATGCAGAAAAATTGCAAATTTTGTTATCAAAAGGTAACATACAAAGAAAATATCAAGCTAATGAGCCCATGATTGTTAGAATGCACCTAATTTTTTATGTAGTATCTTTTTTGTTTTTCCTTTTTCCCTTACAACTAAACCTTCCTATATTTTATATCGAGACATTGTTCACTTTCCTATGGGGAAGACTTCGATTCCATTCAGCAGAATCACTCTCTTGGCTGGTGACAAAAAGGCGAGCTCAAGAAAGATAGAAGTTGTGCAGCATGTAGAGTCGGGATTTCAATTCCAATCGCAATAGCTCGAGAGAGTCAATTGCATCACACCCCGGAAAAATATTTACATTTTCTTGAACAAATTGTCACCATGTTTAAAGAGTAAATGAATTTGCTTACCTTAGTGGGTCTCATGAATTCTGGAGGAATAAATTGTCACTTCTCAATATGTGAAAAAACCCATCTCTAACTTTTTTCAATGTTGAGAAATATATATAAATGCATCTGAAAGAATTTAAAAATCTGTTTTAATCACGGATATCAAAGCAATTGTTTGGGGTCTGTAGGGACAGAGACACGAAGATGGCATCACCAGGCCCTCCCATAATTGGATCTCGACCGCATAAATGTATGTGGGCTCTCTTTTGAAATAGACTAAACGTTACGTGACTCATCACGGAATAACAAACATTGAAGGTATGTTTGATTATGCTTAAAAGTTTCTTTTTAAAAAGATAAAATACGAGACATAATTATTGCATGGAATTAGCAATGTTTAGTGAGCTCTTATAAGCAGGCAAGACGAACTTAGCCCCCGTTTGTCTACCATTAATTCAAAAAATTGTTTGCTACAGTAAGATTTTCCACCACGCATTCACTCAATAAAATATTTTACACACAAACCAATAAAGTTACTTTAATTTTTAACCACACATTCTCCAAAAAATACTATTCATTATACTAATTTTCTCCCAATAATAGGAGACAAACAAGCTCTTAATTGTAGTGTGTGTTTCTATGGTGCATATTTCATATGGAATATTAGACAAGTCGAAATTATATAAAAAATAAGATTCTAACATATTTTCTTCTTAGCCCTTGTTTCGTCTTCATTATTATCAAAAAATACATTTTTCTCTTATTTTAATAACAAGCTTTCTTTAATAAAATAATATTACATGCAAACTCAAAACTTTTTCTTTTCTAACCACACATTTTTTATCGAATAGCTATTCCAAAATGTATTTGGTTTTTTTTAACAAAAAAGTAGGACTCAAACATGTTCTTAGCTCTTGTTTGGCCCCATTAAATTTATAATTCATTTTTCTCTCTTCTAATCAATAACACATTTTCAATAAAATAATATTACACGTAAATTCATAACATTTTCTTCATTTTTAACCACACATTTTCAAAAAAAAATATTATTCCAAACATTAAAATAGCAAATAATGGAGACCAAACGGGGCTTAGGGCGTGTTCGGTAGAGATTAAAATCGGATTAAAATTGAAAAATTAGCCGTTATTGTTGACTTTAATTAGATAAGTGGAACCCAATAAAAACTATATTTTCAATTTTAATTGAATTTTAAGCACGATCGAACACGCCCTTAATATCTAATAGTATTGTACAAGCTATCTAAGCATGAGAATAGTGGATTTTACCAATAAAATTACATGGTACTATGAAGGTACATGTTTGGAAAACTTTTTAAAGATGGTCAAATACTTTTTATTCACACATTTGATAAGATTCACAACTTTTATTATTCACTCTGTAATATGCACAACTTATAGACACCTAAAAGAACCACCAAACATTTCGAGTCAAATTTCGAAAGTTGATTTAATTAGTTGATGTGAATAATTAACAAAGGTGACTTTTTACCTCACAAAAACTCGAGAGAAGCTTAAGTGCGTGTTTGTCTCCCATTAATGTAGAAAAAATAGAATAATGAATACTTCATCCATCCCAATTATATGAGCTTAGTTTCATTTTTCTCTTGTCCCAAATATATAGGCATGTTTCGTAAAATAGAATATTTTATTGTGTTCCTTTATCAATATATCTTTATTAAATTTTTCTCACTTAATATGCCAATTTCTTGAAATCATTCAAATACACACATTTCCCACTTCTTGAAAACATAGAACAACTCTCATCATATTACATCATTCAAATTATTTGTTAGTTCCAACAATAATTTAGTTTTACATACTGAAAATTAAATAGGGGTAAATTAGGAAAGATCTTGACAAAAATTAATTTTCCAATGTCATTAAAGAAGTTTTCTTAATCCGTGTGAAAAACGAAACAAGTCTATATAATTGAGACATAATGAGTAATATTTTTTGGGAAATGTGTGGTTGAAATTTAAATTATTTTTATTGGTTTGTGTGTAGAATATTTTATTGGGTGACTGTGTAGCAAATAATGGAAGACAAACGGGCCTAAATTGAGAGCCCCAAAGTGTAGAGGTAAGCAATCTACCAAAGAAAGTCGACAATATAATGTAAAAAATGCTAGTCGAGCTAGTACATCAGCCACTTGATTTGCATCCCTGCTGATATAAAAGAAAGAGAGGTCACGGAAAGAAGTCTTTAGCTCGATTATTCTTTGAACTCAAAAACTGTGTTTTCTACTACCACATTCAATAATCTTTTTTTTATTTAACACGCGTCCGTCCTTATGGATTTGCTAAAAGGCTGATTCGCACGCTTCACGGACTTGTACTGTTCCTTGGTCCCACTCCCATTGGTAGTGGTACTAACAAATAGCACTGACTCACAAAATGCAAAATTCGTGTTGACATCATCCTTGATTAGTCAAGTCGATCAACGACCGTACTTTTTTTTTTTATTTTTATGAGCATATGACTGGCCTGCAAGATTAAAGTGCTCCTTCCCCAATACATATAATACCTTCAGTTTCAGGCATTATTCTGGGGATCACTAATTTCTCATCTTCTTGAGTTTGCTGCAAAGGGCAACTTGGAAGCTCCGAGACTGCACGTTCATACACAAATATGTTGGCTTTACATTTTCTATCCAGTCTAGGTTTGTAGAATGAGCATTAACCCGTGCATGTGTTTACTTTTTTTCGAAGATATTGGCTTTGCAAAGAGCAGTCTAAACTTTGTACATTTTACTTAGAGCTCACTATCTCCCACAAGTCGTCCAAATTATTCTTAATTTTTAAAATTAATCAAAAATTGTTGACAACAACGGTAGATTTGATCTGAATCGAACTATTTTAGGAACTTTATTAAAATCATTGAGTTTCGAATATGGTAAAGTAGCTACTCGAAGGGTGAACGACTCCTTTGATTGTAATGAATATTTTCAGCTTTTATATTCAGACCTTCACTTTTATCTGTGTTTTAACCAATTTCAATGAGATCAAACTACCGGGCAATTGCACGAAAATACAATAGATGAACATCTCGTACCATTGATTGCGTAACAATTAGGGTATGTTTGATTGTAAGGGTGAAAAATGGGTGGAAAAAAAATATTTTACAGGAAAAAAATTTGCTTAGAAAATGTTTTATAGGGAAAATAATTTCAAATGTATTTGATTGGTATAATTTTCCACCCGAAAAATTTTTAAATCTTGTGTTCGTTTTGTTTTGTTTTACATGGAAATTGTCCATTAAACTTATAATTTTTTCCTCAATTGGTTATAAAATTTGTTTCTATTGCCAAAAAGTAAAAAAAAAAAAATTATTTTCTAAAAAATCATTTTTTTATCAAAATTTAGTGTTCGTTTGACCTTCGTTTGTATCAAAATTGTCCATGAAAGTGAATTTTTTTTTTTTTACACTTGGTTATGAAATTTGTTTCTATTACAAATAATAAAAAAAAAAATGCAGACAGAACCCATAATTAATTTTCCCACCTAAAAGGTGGGAAAATCATTTCCTCCCACACAGGGAAGAAAGCGCGTAGAGCGAAAAAATATGAAAAATTTTCCATGCCAAATTATGATCATCAAACACTACAAAACATAAAAAGTTGGAAAATATTTTCTTTTTCCACCCATTTTCCATGCTATCAAACATGGCCTTACTTTTGTTACGTTGGGAGATATCATTATTCTCTATCCCAATTCCCATTTATTACATTTGCAAAAAATTGCAATTCAACTAATATTGATCAAAACATACATAAAGGTTCACAAGCGGTTGAATACTTATTCTATAAGAACTAATTCGACCTAATCATACCACGTAATCCTGTAACAAGCGACTTGGCGAGTTATTTAATCTCCATGAATATTTCCTTGAAAATTAAATATAACATACTTGGAAAGATCAATTAGACATAAACTAGACAATATTAAAAAAAAAAAAAAAAATCTTATTAATGGTGTTGTTGGATACCATGTAACAAGACAGATTTAAACATGACACACACTTTATTACAACTTTTCTCTAATTCTCTCTAATTTGTTAAAACTAAACATAACCTATGCAAGCTCTGAAACTCTATGGTTTTTCATGAAGGCAAATGCTGACACCCATTCCCACTTCCCAAGCTTTGATGAAAATCGAGATAATTCTGAAACAATACTTTTTCCTATTTTAGTCATTGTATTTGTTTGGCCCATTTTGAAGAAGAATACAAATTTTAAAATAATGATTGATGGAAGAATATGTGGTTAAAAAATAATGAAAATTTTCAAATTTGTGTGTAATATTATTTTATTTGGAGAATGTACAATTAAAATTAAGAATAAAAAATTTTAAAAAATTTAATGAGGACCAAACAAGGACTTAATTATTAGATATCACCAATTTTTAATTAATTTTACCAGTAATGAAATATATAACAAATCTTGTATTTATATGCTTGCCAATACACACCAGACCTAAAAGCTCCTCGGCTGTACACCGAGGTGTCAACCTAATGTACATATAACATAAGTCTACTTTTTAAGGCCAACACT